TGATGATTAGGCCTGTTTCCTCACCAAACAATAATAATAATAATAATAATGCATTTTATTTTAAAGCGCCTTTCAAATAAGAAGGTAAAGGACAAGAGTTAATGACAAAGCCTTGGATAAAAATAAAACTGGGGAGTGTATTAAACGAGGAAAACAATCAGGGTGGTTTATGTTTTAATTATGAATCACGCCTCTTCTTATTATAAAAGCTTCTACAAAAAGAAACTGAAAGCTGCATTTTTTTATTATTATTTTTATTCATTTATTTATTTGCTGATTTGAAATTCGGGAGATACATACAGAGGACCATCATAATGATAATCTTATTATTCTGTGATCATTTGAACAACCATAAATAGTAAGGCACAGCTAAAAGGAGCCAAATATGCTGCATTTGTTTCCACCTTGGTGTTTTCTCCTAAATATAAACTTCATTTATACAGTTTTCATTTTCCAATCATTTATGTATTTATTTTTTTGTACTTCAGTCTGTCTTGAGCACATGATATGATAAACACCTTGACGTGTTGGCGTTTCTCATCAGTAATGGACCCTACGACCAGGCTTCGATAAGAGACAGGCGATTATCTGTTCCTATAAGTATACATGATCTTGACAGCACAGCCAGACTTTGCTCTGTGTTTAATTGTTCTGCTGCTGGAGTTACATGCTGTGACAGTGCTTTTCTTTATTTTCATGTAACTTCATCTAGCCAGCCTCTGCTGGGTAGGAATAGCTTCTGTATCCTGTGGAGGGACAATATAAGTCCACAATGATGAGCTAATCACTCAAATGTAGCCAGCAGCCCTGTCAGAGAGAGTAGTGAGTTGCATGCTGGGTGAGTATTGTTGATCCTGGCAACCAATCATTAAGAAATTTCCTCTCTTTGTCACAAGTACACAACATGCACACGCATGCACAATGGCAACAACTGTCACCTCTCATGTACACGACCCCAGACAGGGGAGCAGCTCAGTGAGACGGCCTGTCAGCAGCTCTGCAACGTGCCCCACTTGTCTCCCTTCATTGGATGGCCAGCATGTGCCTCAGGTCTCCCCTGCCCATCTATATCCACAGCAATTTCCAGCCTGGCTGCCAGCAGAATAATTCTTTTATGTGAAATTTTTTATTCTCCTTGTCAGCTCTCCTGAAATTCCATGTTTCACTGTCATAAACTCCTATTTATTTTGTACGTGCAAACTGAGATCAGCAACCATTCTTGCAGGTTCAATGCCCACAATCTAACACCAATTATTATATTTTCATAAATACAGTAAAAGAGCTTTCGCATTGCCTCTACAGTGGAAGGTTGCAAGTTACTTCCTTCTGCTTCTCGCGACTAAAGGACATTTTCGTTGTTTACTATTATCTCTTTTTTTTTTCAAAAGGAAAGAGCAATGCTTTCTGATTAATGATCATTTCTGCCTTGTTTGGTCTGCTTTCTGTGGATGAATTTAAATAATTTGCACAAAAAACCACATCATCTAGTAAATATACTACCATATCTTTATGGAAGCAATGATTTAGACATATAAATGGACAGTGCTTTACACAGCTGTCATCTGTATTCTTTTATCAAAAATTATTTAAAAAAAACTGAAATGAATTGGTAGCTGCAGAATTATCACTATACGATGCATGTGCATGCCAAATATTGAACCTTAGGCATTTTAGTTCAAGAGAAGTGGCAAAAGACCTGCAGTGCACTACACTAGTTTTAACTTTGTTTGACTTTTCATGTTTTACTTTATTATTTGTACTTTTCCACATTTCCAGTATTTATACACTCTAATTTTAAACTATTCCATATATATTAAAAATCAAGGCATCATTTATTGTTTTGTTGGGTTCAGAGTTCAGGAGGACAACAAAGGTAAACTCCAGGGGACAAAAATTGTAAAACAAGAAGTACACTTATTCTTTTCAGTTTAGCCTGTTCTTGTGTTGTCTAGCTTGACTTTTAATTTTGTTTGTATATTTCAGAATAATTTGTTAGAAATGACTTGTGTAAAGGTGCTCTTTTTAACTTTTTTTAGTTTTGTTTTGTTTTGTTTAATTATTATTTTGTGTGTGTGTGTGCTCAGGGTGCCGAATGCTGCTTTATTTAAAGACCAGGTTCACTGAAAGAATATTTTTTATTTATTATTTTTGAAAATGCACACTGAATGTGAAAATAGACCTACCCCTATTGCCTGCATTTGCTTTTGATAGAAAATAGACAGAAAAACACTAAGCTTAAAAAAGCCTGACAGATCTGCGTCACACTGTCAATTAACATTCACGGACTCACCCATCTTGACTCACAGGGGAAGGCTGTTGTTGCTTTAGCATTCAGGAAACAGCAGAGCACACCTTAGCTAGTAGCAGCTAACTGTTAGCATTAGCAACTCTACAATACAGCAGAACTCCTCCAGGCTTGTGTTATTGGTGGAGATAAAACATCAATGTTGCAGAGCAAACAGAGTCACATTGCTGGTGAGATGTCCAAATGTCAGAAAATAGGACTCCAAATCCTACTGTCTGAAGCCACTTGTTCCTAGTTCCGAGCTTTCTCACAGAGAACGGCTGACAAAGAATTCATTCCTACTAAAGATCACTGCAAATGTATTAAAAATATTAGTAAACTGGATCTTTAAGGGATGATTGAGGTTAAGTAAAATATAACAGTTTAATGAGTGAAACAAGCCAAAAAGTAAGTTAATTGCCTGTTTGGATGTTACAGCAGGTCTTAGCTGAGCAAAACCATTGCCTATAACCATAGGAAACCTGTGTCAGAAATAGTGACAGCTTCATGAAATGCCTCAGGGACCAACAATATTAATATTTAAAGCGATCTTGTGTGGGATTCTGAAATATTCAACTCCAGTGATGGTAACATACACCAACTCACTGCTACATCCACACATCCCACACACACTCCTGTTGTACACTTTGCTCTATAAAATTATCTCCACATAAAACGAATCTGTGTATTTAATGAGTTTGCACAGCCTACTAATTGTGCTGGGACTGTTTATGTGAAACACAAAAGATTTGCTCCCCAAATGGCCATATTGTGAAATCCCTGCCACACATTTAAGCCAAGAGAAGAAAAGTATTTTGTTTTGAGCAGAATCAGGATGTCATTAACAAGCTGATGCATTCTTACTGGGCAGTAATGGCAGGCGATCCGATTTAGATACATTACCTTGACAGGATGGAGCACACTGGTCGATAACATCCCCACCAAGTGTCTTGGCAAATGTCATGGCCCATGATGGAACTGGCAAGAAAACGACGAGAAACGGAGGCAGAGAGCCGTACACTAACCAACCGAGTGGTAGAGAGTCCATTATCATTAAAGAGTCTGAAGAATTGTGAAAGAGACTTTGTGCTGCTGACCAAGCTGAAAGAAATGTATTCACCTGCAGTTTCTCAGCTGTCAGGGGTCTCAGTTTTGGGCCTTGGCTAATGTTATGTTAATGAAAACAAAATAGTGGGCTGCTGGACCCCTGAGCGCACCCTTCATGTGTCTCGTGTACTCCTACACACCCAGGCGGTGCACTGTAATATCCCATGCACCTGCCTGCATTAGCAGAATGCACACATGGTGATATGAACAGTAATGGTTTTGCTGTTTGGGTTATTGCACTTGGTCTGTTTAATGATGCCATCAATGGTGAGCGAAAGAGGTGCTAGGAGGGATCACAAAGGCGCTGTCCCTGTGCAGACACTGTAGGCATTTAACCAAACGGACGTGACAAACGCTGAATGTCTCTTTGCCTTTTCTGACTCTCATTAACGCACGGAATCACAGATGTTGCCTGTTTTTTTCACGGTGCGCCCTTTCTCATGAGAAAAAAATGTAACCAGCTGCTCATTCCCAAGCTAAGAAGATTGTTTTCGTGAGTTATGGGTGCCTAAAAAGACACACACGTACACTCAGACAAGCACACAGATGCCTATCAGAGCGTTTGTGCCCTGAAGGTTACGAGCCGTGGAGAAAGGCCAGGAGAGGTATTCGACACTGTTAATTGTCTGATGTTAATCAATTAGTAGACATCCGACTGAGCTGGAGGCCAGCAGAGAAATGTCATTAAGCTCACAGAAACAGACAGGTACACCGGTAGACAGATAAAACAAGAGTAACTATTGGCAAGCAACACTGTGCTAACTGGCAGGCATAGAAAAAGCCTGTGTGTAAGAAGAAATAAACTATTTTCATTAAACACGTCTGTGCGTAGTTCAATTCACTCCCCTTAAAACTGTGGAAAAAAATCTCATTGAAAGGAAACTGAGGCAGGAGGATGCAAAGAAGTGCTTTCAAGCTTGGCGTCTACTTTTAACAAGCTGGGTGGGTGATCCATATTATCAGGGTCAGATCTTTCTGGGCTCAGCTAAGCTCAACGTTCTAAACACCCAACATCTGCTGCGGGTTGGCCAGCCAGTGCTGGGATGCCTCATCATCAGCTGGCTGCTGGTGGTCATGTTCCAGCTAACTGCTGGCAGGAGACGAGAGTTTGTGTGTGCATTCGAGCAAGTTCAGCTCCACTTCACTGAATCGCTCACTTTCATTTTAGATCTCAGGTTGCCCTGAGCTGACATGCAGTAAAGATTTTGGTTACACAACATTATGTACTGAAGACTTAATGGTTTGTTTAATCAGCGCTTGGTGTTTCTGTGTTGACAGCCTTTTATGGCGGTAGCAGTTCAAGTACATTGGTTTGATAAACTCTATATTGTCTTTAAATGCTCTTACACCGACACAAATAGCTCTATTTCAAAAAAGGCACTTTTACCAGAAAGCATAGCAGAGACACAAGTATTTAAACAAGGCTTGCATCTGCACACGCAGCTGTGCAAGTTAGTCGTTGTGTAAAAATGCAAAGGAGCAGAACTTCTCCTGACTGCAATGCAACTCATTAGTACACCTGTGCTTTCTTTGATCTTGCACGTCAAAACATCAGCTGTGTTTTACAATACATATCTCTCATCCTTTCTTTTCTTCTTTACATTTCCAGGTGACTATGTGGTGCTCACTGTCTTTTTTGACCTGAGCAGGAGGATGGGCTACTTCACCATCCAGACTTACATCCCATGTACTCTCATCGTCGTCCTCTCCTGGGTCTCCTTCTGGATCAACAAGGATGCAGTACCTGCAAGGACCTCATTAGGTATTTAATAATGAAATTACTGTAAGAAGGTTTATAAGGAATAATTCTAGCGTTACAATCATTTGTCATTACAGTGGTCCCTCGTTTATCTTGTTCTAAAAATACCCACTAATAGGTGAAATCCGCGAAGTAACCAGCATTATTTTTGCAATAATTAAAAATGTTTTAAGGCTGTAAAAACTCCTCACTACACATCTTATACACTTTGCTCAGACAGGCATTAACATTTTCACACTTTTCTCTCTTGTTTAACAGTAGAACTCCCAGAATGCTAACCTCTCTTGAATTCCCAGTGACAGTCAGTTTGATAGCTGTCATTTTGGCCATTAAATGCAGGCTAACAATGACGTAGTGGAGCGAAACGGTTCAAGTACACTATCAATTAACTCTTCATGGATGTGTGGACCTAATAATATGGTAAGAAAATATAATTTTATTCCAAACGTTGAAAAGAAGTTTCTCCATTGTTCACTGGGTCACTCCTTTCTGTGGGTGGGGATGGGGGCTCAGAGATCGTCTTCCACCTTTTCTCATGCCACTTCCTACCAACCAGTCTTCCCGTCTCCGCCTGAAGCAGCATAATTTCTAATGCTTTTTCACTGAGAATGTTCTTCTAAAAGCCATTTTAGCAGCTATTTTACACAGAGATTGAACGGTACATGAGTGCGTGCTCAAGCTGGAAAGGTAGTTGCCTAGCCACGGTTATGCTGTCCGAAAACTTTACCATGTAAACAATAGAGCCGTAAGACTGACGAAAACAAATTCTACATTATTTTATAAAATGTTATGCAAAAATAAAGACCACATAAAAATAGAAAAAGTCGGGAAACAAGTACAACGTGTAATCCATCTAACTATAGTTATTACATGTCCAAATATGAACAGTCAAAATGACTGCCTTGGGAGTTCTAGTATTAAACACAATCAATTCCGCATTCATGGCGCAGAACACAATGCAAAAAATAAATAAATAAATAAAAAATAAAATTCCGCTAAATGTTAGAATTGTTTTCAGGTGGATTTATTAGTTTTCACTTTACTAGTTTACCAAAGTGAGCTGCCAGAACACTTTTATGGGCTGCCTGAATGTTTTTCCTCACAAAAACACAGCTAGAACACCGAAAGCTGATTATATTATGGCCATAGCAGCAACAATAAAACAACCAAATGCGACACTCCGTATGTTTAGTCCAGGTCCAGCATTCCACTCCTCTCCTGCCTCAGCGCTGTAACTTTTAAAACCAGGAGAGACCCTGGATGTGTACTCACCAAGCAAAGTATTCAGATGGTCACATTTAATCATTTTCCTCCCAGCCACAGACATTGTCTCATTTTAGACATAAATGGTTCAACTGTTACCGGCATATCTGGTTATCACTAGCTTGTTCAAACAGCGGCCGGCCCTAGACTCTTTTCTCGTCTAGTCCATCTGTCCCAATTGTGGATTGGTTCTTTTTTCAGTTTTTTCAGTTCTTTCCATTTTCTCATTGATTTTTTGGTTAATGTCAATGTTTGTTGTTATCTTTTGTTTATTGACAGGAAAAAAATTGCAAAACAGCGAGGCTGCAAAGGTTGAATTGTGTTATAGCGAGGGACTACTGTGTTTGTAGAATTTAGATTTAGTCACAAATGTTTCTATAATTAAAAATGTCACCTGACAAGTTTAGCCAGAGTTGTACTTTGGGATATATTTGTGATCTGTCCACCCAACCCCCAAATGCTGCATTTGTCAGGTTCATTGAGGCCAACCTGGGCCCAATTACTCCTTGCATAAAGCATTACCCTGTGCCTGTGGTGCTTTTACACCACCCCACAGTGTAAAGCAGCCTGCATAAGCTTAAGCCTAAATCCTTTCTTTTATCCATGTATCTACTGTTACATCAACATCCTTTCTTCTCTTTTTTTCCCCTCTGAGACCGGGCAGCTGCTTAGGAATTTTGTGCTTCTTGAGTAGATGAGCCTGTCCTGGCACATATGTATGCACGTGTGCCTTAATGAGACATTAATTATGCAATGCAGCAAGGAAGAGGAGGAGATGCTACTTCAGCACAATAATAATGCAGGTGGCCTCTTCGGAAAATGCAAAGAGGGACACAAGACTAAAAAGAGGGCAGAAGTGAGAATATCAAGGAAATTTGTCAGCTTTTGGACTTGCCCTTGACATCCTAAGATGGTCCCTTGCGACGCTGCTACATATAAATCCCTTAGTCAGCTTTTTTTCACCCTTAAGGCTCTAAAAACTGATCTCCAAGTCCATAGGTTGCTATTATTCAAGAAAACTGAATCTGTGCAATTTGAAAGTTGTTTCTTTTTTTCTTCTTTTTTTTACTTCCTTCATTACTTAAACAAGGTTATTCTTGCATAGGTCAAATGTCTTAATTTGCCTCTTAAAGTGGATTCAGGAGGTTCAGGCAGCCTGTTGGTTACAGAGTGGATAATTGTAGATGACATAATTCTTAATCCTTCAATGCCATCCAAAAATATATCAATTTCCACATAATACTTCCTTGTTAATCTCGACACAGATGGATGCCATTCAGGTGAAATTAAAATGTAGACACAAATCATTTCATGCACACAAAGAAAGCCCTTTTTTACACATGGTGTGTTTAAAGAAGGAAGACAGATGTATTACTTGGCGGTTTGAGGTTGTTTGCTGCTGTTGGGTTATTTGTTGTCACGTTCCATCTGTCAGAATTAAATGGATGTAAAACGAGTTCAGTAGAGTTCAACAAGCGCTCAGTATGAGAAGTTTCTAGATCAAAGGGATAGTAAATGCTTTATTGATAGCCCCTTTACAACATGGTCTTATTACGTCACTCCATTCAATACAAGACAGATGTTTCAACCCACCATATAAACTGGAAGACATGCATCAGCCACTTTATATGGTACACTTGTCTTTAATACTGCCTTAGTAGCATTATGCAGTTGCTACAGATTTGTTGGCTGCATTTCCCATTCCTCCACATTCCAAAGATGCTGGATTGAGAGCTGGTGACTGTGTAAAGGCCTCTGGAAACGAACAGACTCATTGTAGAGTTAAAGAAAGCCGTTTGAGATGGTTCTAGCTTTGTGACGTAATGAATATGGGTCGACTATAGTCTTAAGAGTCAGCCACTATACTCAGCTAGGCTAAACCCACAGCAGTCTGAAAAACGGAGGCAAGGCAAGCTGGATTTATACTTTCATTATGTTGACAGCATTTTTTACCTAACCATCTGAATGTAGAAGCTGAAACTGAGACTTGCCAAAGCAGACAACCTTTACTGGTCCTGTATCATCCAGTTTTCATGGTCACGTATGAACTGTAGCCATGCTATCCTTTTCTTAGCCGACATGACACCTGATCTGGTCTTCTGCTTCAAGATTCAACATGCAAGCGATGGTATTCTGCACACCTCGGTTGTCACAAGTGTTTATTTGAGATTCTTTTGCTTTTACCATTTTGAACTGTTCTGCAGCATCCTTTGACCTCCAAAATCAGCTAAATGCTTTCATTTAAACAACTTCCTCTCACTGGATATTTTTTTCTTTATCAGACCACTCTATAAATCCTAGAGGGCTTTTGGTAAAAAACAAAATCAGCTATTTCTGAAATATACAGATCAGCCCGTCTAGTACTGACTACTATGTAAAGTTTAAAGCCCCTCTCTGCTGAGCTCACAGGGAAAATGTGTTTACTAAGTTAGGCAACGCTCATGCTTCTGGTTCAAAGGCAGAGTGACGCTCAGTTTGAACTTCAATAAATCATCATATCGCTGCACAGATGCATTGGGTTTTTTCCATATGATCGGCTAATATGGCATTTGTGTCAAGCACGGACAGGAACTCATTTGACACAAATCTAACCCATCCCTGTTTCTCTGGTTTCTTTACTAGGCATCACGACTGTGCTGACCATGACCACACTAAGTACCATTGCCAGAAAATCTCTACCCAAAGTGTCATATGTGACCGCCATGGACCTGTTTGTATCTGTCTGCTTCATTTTCGTCTTTGCTGCACTCATAGAGTATGGCACACTGCACTACTTTGTCAGCAACAGGAAGCCGAGTGCCAAGAAGGACAAGAAGAAGAAAAACCCGGTGAGCTTTTCTGTATTTTTTTATGAAGCAAAAACCACTTTTTTCATAGCTTGAACTTTGTTACACCCAAGAGAAATATTATATCATTCCTTCTACACAATTAATAAACTGAAGCAGAGATTTGAAAATTCCATAAGTGTCTTCTCAAGAGCTACTCTCAACGAGTGACGCATTAAGCTCAAACCTTTTTATAATCCCTCACACATCTGTTACAGTTGTATTTTAGAACATGGCGACATGACAGGGATTTAGGACTCAAACGAGGCCAACTCTAACAGATCATGGTGTGTTCTCACTTTTACTCAGGGCCTTTGGTCTGACCGTACTAACTCATCTCATTTATGGAGGATTTTGTTACACATCCTCAAAATAATTTTAGTATAAGTCAGATTTTGCAACTAAAGTCTGCTTTACAAATCACAAGCTTTTTTGGAGCAGCATGGTGCTTTGAGTGGTAAAAAACAAATTTAAAAAATATATAAAAATAGACGAGTAATGACCTGAAACCGATGTGAAAGTGGGGCAATCTAGTTTCAGCATATGCATAAGGTTTTGCATATGGTCTAGTGGATGGATGGATGGATGGCTGAATAATGACCTAGAAGGTGAAAGCCGGTTTACCGTCTCAGAAGGACTTTTCTTGGGTCTCTGCCTGATTTGATGAATATTAGGAGGGTCAATTATAAAAATGAAAGTAGATCGGTCATAGAATTTATTTTGATTTTATAAAAGTTCATAAACAATGAACAAAATGAGATTCTGACTTGTATTCATTGTAAAAAATGTAAAAATATGTTTTTAATAGTCTATCATGCCAAAGATATATAGCAGTTTTTTTTGTTTTGTTTTATTGTAAACCATGCATTATGAAATGCACAAATGTTATCCAAAGACTAGGATGACACACCTGAAATTGTTTTTAGGGTTTTTGAAAAATACTGCCTTGCCAAAAAAAAAAATAAAGTTGCCACCTAGATTTAAGATTTGGGGTTCTGCAGTGGGCCAGGTGAGCTACTTAAATCTATGGAATGAACAGATTATTCCATCAATGGATTTTTTTTTCTTTCCTGTTGGAGCAAGCATATTCCAAAATGACAATGCCTGGATGTATTGGGCTGAAATTGGGAAATGGTGATTCAGGGAATATGAGACATCATGTTCACACTTGGAGAGGAGTCCAAACTTTAATAGAAGATAATAGAATAGACTTTATTGATCCCACACTGGGGAAATCACTTGTTACAGCAGCAAAACACATAATTTGAAGAAACATATTAACAAACGTACCATGTATATACACATAGGCAGTCAGCTAGTATTGTAACCTTTGGCCACTAAACACCACAAATAAAAGAGTAAAAACTTGGGATTCCAGAACTATGCAGCATACTGTAAGGGAAACAGACATACTATGTAAATCTGGTATTGCACAAGTATCTGAGTATTGCATTTAACCCCACTGACAATCTTTCGGATGTGCTGGAGAAGGCTTTGCAGAGTTGTCAAACCCTCCCATCATCAAAACAAGATTTAGGAAACATGGTGCAACATGGAGATCAATCTTTCACACTGAAGAAGCACAATGCCAATGCGAGTACATGCTAGCATCCAAGCTAAAGGCAGTCCAAAAATATTAGTCTGCATTGTTTTTTTGGCAACTTTTTTTTGACCATGCAGTGTATATTGTGCTATTCTTTCTAATTTTACAGGATTTATTTATTTATTTTTACTTATTAGGAATATTCGTTGTGGTTTGGTTGCATCACTCCTGAGTCTCTATGTGACGTTTCTGTCTCAAGTGTACTTCCTGTTTTCATTTTGACCTTAAATGTTAAATTTTTGAACTTGTCAAACATTAGTTGTGTGTACCTGTTTATTGGTGTATTATTCTCTGTTTACACACCTTTTTTTGAGATTACTCACTTTTAATTCCACACTTTTTTTGTCTCCTGTTTGGACAAAAGCTCCTCCGGCTCTTTTCCTCAAAGGTATATTGCCTGTGTCTGACTGCATGTGTCTGCTGCATTTTGGCTCTTGAGCCTCCAGCACCTCACTGCTTTTCTCTCTGCGCAACAGCAGATATGCCTCTATTACTTCTTTATGTACCTGCATTCTAACTGTGCACCTCCTTAATTACTAAATGGGTGTCAGATATTACGTTAAATAAGAGGCGCCTTGCAGTGCACAGTGCGGAGGCAGCCAGCCAGACATACTTATGCAGTTTTGTTATTTTTTTTATATAAAATCGCTAATAAGCATCTCACATATCCCATGTCCTTTAGAAATTAACAGTTCAGGCCCCAGTGTGGAAACATTCTGGCTCCCTCTGTCCTGTTTCACTCCTTGTTGTTGTTACCACAGTGAACAAGCAGCCACTACAACAGCTTTGCCCTTTTTTCCTTTTTCTGTCAGTAAATCTTTACCTGTGTGTTTGTTGGGCTTCTCAACCTGACGCTTCCTAAAGAGTCAGCAGTGCTTTAACAGACTGAAAAAGACAACCCACACACTGTGTAAAATTGACTTTGATATATACATCAGAGGTCGTTTCAAACATTTAAGACATCACAACCTATTGAAAAAACATCTAGACAACACAGTATTAACTTTTCTACTTGAAACTTTGCATCAATATTTCACACAGCTAAATCAGAAATAAGAAATCATTGTTGATCCCAATTTTGTCTCGTCTAAAGGGGTTGTTGACTTTCAGCCAGTTAAAGCTGATAATGCTACTTTGGTGATTTTTCTTTTAATTTGTTTTATTTATTCTGCAAACACTAACTCAGCATAACCCAACTTGACCAGCCCAGCGGGGCAACATTAATGTTCCTTCTGCTTGAGCTTCTACTTCTTTCCCTTCAGTTCAACAAATCCCCTTTGAGAACCGAGCCATAACCCGCACTGCTAACCCCCTCATTAACTTAACACATGGCCCCACAATAAGGACAAAGATGCCTAAACTAACCCATATGTTGTATTTTTATTGTTTTCTCGGGGGAGTTATGTATCGTTTCAAAAGGGACAGCAGGTTTGTGAACTTGTGGTGAGCAAAATGAAATGTTGTTGGTTTTAACATTTTGTCCAGAGCAGTTTAAGCTCATTTGAGGATGCATGCTTACAGCAAAAAAGGACATGCCTCAAATAAATTTTATTTTGGTCTTTTAGTTTCACATTTTTTGCAGCAAGCATGTCTGCGTAGATGGCAAATGAGCATTAAACTATCCACAAGACAGACAATTCCAGTCAAGTATGTGCTGCTTTGTGATATTCAGTCTCAGATCAGTCATATTCAATCTTCGTCAAATCTACTGTCACATCTTAGAATTTTAACTTTGGAGCTTTTTTCCCCCCAATTTACTGGGTACATTTTAACGATGAGGCTGATCCCAGAGTTTATCCACAACGTCAAAAAACCCTGTTTCTGCCAACGGGTGTGGAGCTTTCAATGTGCTGAACAGTTAAAATTCCAATTTGTGTCAAAGCGACGTGGCATTTTCAGATAAAAGCTGATGAAACATACTTTTCTGAATACTAATTATGTTCTCTTAGAATGAAAGTCACTGATGGCATTGTCCTATTTTAGGAATCTTCACAAATGGAAGACAGTAGTGAGCACAGCTTGAAAAGAGGGGTTTATATTTAGTTAGGGGCAGAAAGAATGCACAGGAGGGACATACACAAGCATGGTTTTCTTCAAGCTTAAGTTTGTAATGCTGCAACGTCCGCCATATCTGGTTAGTACTGATTCCTGTTTCAGTCATGAAGTGTTATAAATAAAATAAGAAAGATGGGACAGTTTTGTGTTTTTGCAGCATTTTAATCCCTCCTGGAAAAACGAGCATAGTTGGTTACCAGCATATGTTGTGTGTTGGTGCTGGTTAACTACATAATTAAACCAGCACCAAAACACAACAAATGCTGGTAACCAACTATGCTAGTCTATGCTGATTTTCCCAGCAAATATGTAAAGCAGCTTCAACTGAATACCATAAATAAACTGAAGTTATATTTACTTTGTGTGGCTGCTACATAGGCAACATTAAACTGTTGCTGTTGCTCATTAGCTTTATTCCAGCCAGCAGGTACAGTTTGCATCATGGGTTCCACAGCACTACCCATGCTTCTAAACGGCTTTAATTTCACCCATAGTTGGTAGTTTGGAGTACACTTCACTTATTTCTTGATAATTAATAATAATAAAGAATCTGGGGACGCACCGATATGACATGTTTGGTCTGATGCCGACATCTGATATTAATACCACTGTTATGGCCAATAACAGATATTTGCTGATACCGATAAACTGACATCAATGCTTCTAAAATCGACAGATTTTGTATAGAATGAAATTTATTAAAGCTGAATTTACGTTATTATGTACACACAACACACACATTCACGCTTCTGAGATGATTAAAGTAATTTCTTACATGACTAAACAAATACACATCAACAGATAAACTAATGGAACCAAGATGGAAAAAATATTGGCTGTTAATATCGGCCCAGTTTTATTTATCGAACTGATACCAATATGTTAAAAAATGACTAACATGGGCCAATACTGATATTGATGCTGATATATTGTGCATCCCTAAAAGAATCCATTGTCAAGTTAAGGATCTAAATTATATTTAGAAGATTTCTGCTTAAAAAAAGAAAGAGTAAAATATGAAAGTAGTTCCAGTTGGTTCCATATCTGGCAGCTATCTTTGTTCTGGAATTCTGGTGGCTAACCGTCATCTTGTCTTGTTTAAAGCAGACACCAACTGTAGACATCCGTCCACGCTCTGCTACAGCCATCCAGATGAACAACGCCACACACATGCAGGAGCGAGATGAGGAATATGGTTACGAGTGTCTCGATGGGAAGGACTGCACCAGTTTCTTCTGCTGTTTTGAAGACTGCCGCTCTGGAGCCTGGCGGCATGGCAGGTTGCACATTCGCATCGCAAAGATAGACTCATATGCTCGTATTTTCTTCCCCACTGCATTTGCTCTCTTCAATCTGGTCTACTGGGTCTCCTATCTCTATCTCTAGGCACCGGTATGAATCCAGCTTTATCCTACAGTTCATTACATCCTACATACACGCTGCGCCAGCAAATGACATTCAAGGAAGGGACCCACAGAAATACCCCCAAAGTTAATTTGATTTTCTTGTATTTACATTGTTTTATTCCCTTTAAAACTTTCATGCAAATGTTGTAGCATTACATTTAACTGGTGTGAGACAGTTTAGAGTTATGTTGTAAAAGCATCAACTGTGTGAGAGAATAATTTGATTTTAAGGTGTTTTTTTAATTACTATTTCTCAGTCTGTGCACATATCAGGTAGAATGTTCACTTTATACTGTAGAATTTAAAAGACCAAGATAAATGCACAAGTCCGAGTAATGTCAACAATCACAATACGTTTAACTAAAATAATTTGGAGAAAGAATGGCATCCATTACATGGGATTTAATTACATAAAAAGGCATGATCACTGCAGACATAGCACTGAAATAATCACGTTACTACTAAATGTTTTCCAATAAATCTTTCTTTATAATTTCTCCTTTAAATGTTTTCTCTTAAAAATCTAAATCTAAAGCACTTTATGAGAGCTATGTTAAACAGAAATTGTTTTTCATTCTGACAAAATGTTCCTCATTGTCTTCAGCACACACATGTGTGATGATATATCACATTAATCATGTGAGGTCAGACTAAAATGATGCTTTTTATCAATAATGCTTAACTGTACAGACACTGTATATATTTTATTATTAGATGGTGGTTTACTTTTATTGCATGCACTTTTGAGGCCAAAAATATTTATTTTGTGGTCTTCTGCTGTTGGCTATGAAACCTTAAAAAAACTATCAAAAATAAAGCAGCAATGCAAATTTCCATTTTATTATTTATTAATTTATTTGTTTATTTGTTCATTTATTTACTTATTAAACTTGAAATCTTATAAGTAGCCTCAGAATACCAATTTCTAATGCAGGCTTATTTATTTATTGAATCAGTGCAGTATTTCAGGGGAAAAAAACTGTCAAATAATTTATTTCAATCATTATTTCATGGCGCTCTCCATTTCCTCTTAAACTCATAATTACAAACAACACTCTTCAACTTGGGTTATACAAGCTGCTAAAGTGGGATGCAAAAGTTTGCGCAGCCCTGATAATCTTCATGATTTTCCTGTATAAATTGCTGGTTGTTATGATGATTTTTTGTTGTTAAATATATCAGATAGGGGACACAGGGTGATATTTGAGAAGTGACATAAAGTTTATAGGAGTTATGGAAGAGGTGCATTAATTGTTGCATACATTTGGGCACCACGAAAAAGAAACTACTAGTTTTTCCTCCTTTTGCAGAAATAACCCTCTAAATTCTTCTTATAGCTTCCAATGAAAGTCTGGATTCTGGCTGAATGTATTTTGGACCATTCTTCTCAACAAAACATCTCTGGTTCTTTCAGGTTTGATGGCCTCTGAGCGTGGACAACTCTCTTTTACTCACACCACAAATGTTCAATAATATTCAGGTCTGGGGACTGAGATGGCCATTCCAGAACGTTCTTCTTGTTCCTCTGCATGAATGCCTTAGTAGATGTTGAGCAGTGTTTAGAGTTGTTGTCTTGTTGAAAGATCCAGCCCTGGTGCAGCTTCAGCTTTGTCACTGGTTCCTGGACATTGGTCTCTAGAATCTGCTGATATTGAGTGGACTCCATGCGCCCCTCAGCTTTAACAAGATTCCCAGTCTCTGCACTGGTCACACACCCCACAGCATGATGGAACCACCACCATGTTTTGCTGTAGGTAGCAGGTGGGTGTTTATTTATTTATTTTGGGAATTTTGTGTTATTTTTCCTCCATGCATAAGGCCTTTATGTCCAACTATCTCAATGTTAGTTTCATCAGTCCACATCACCTTATTCCAAAATGAAGCTGGCTCATCCAAATGTGCTTTAGCATACCTCACGTGGCTCTGTTTGTACTGTGGGTGGAGAAAAGGCTTCCTCTGCATCACTCTCACATACAGCATCTCCTTGTGTAAAGTGCGCCGAATAGTTGAACGATGCACAGTGACTCCATCTGTAGCAAGATGATGTAGGTCTGTGGTGCTGATCTGTGGGTTGACTCTTGACTGTTCTCACCATTCTTTGCTTCTGTTTATTCAAGGTTTTCATTGGTCTGCCACATGGAGCCTTAACTCGAACTGAACTTGAACAGGGTGTGTCCGTGGACATCCATTTTCTCAAAATGTTCCTAACTGTGGAAACAGACAGCTGAAATCTCTGAGGCAGCTTTCTGTATCCATGCTCTAAGCCATGACGGTGAACAATCTTTCAGGTCATGTGAGAGTTGTCATGATACCCCATGTTGCTGCTCTTCTGAGAACATTCAAAGAGGAGGGAAACTTACAATTGGCCCCTTCTTTCTCATATTGGATTCACCTGTGCATGAAGGTCAAGGGTCACTGAGCTTATTAAACCTGTTTTGAGTTCCAATAATTTGGTCTAAATGTTTTGGAATCAACAAAATGTCAACAGTGCCCAAATGTATGCACCTGCCTAATTTTGTTTAAACAATTATTTCACACTGTCTGTAAATCTCAAACATTCTTCCACTCCTCAAATATCACTGTGTGTCTCCTATGTGATAAATTTAACTGAAATGTTGTATTATAACAACCAACAATTTATACAGGAAAATCATGAAGATTAATAAGGCTGCCCAAACTTTCACACCCCACTACATGGGAAACAGAACTGTGAAAAAACCTGATTTTAATGGAGCTGAACCAAAAAACAAAAAAAAAAAAGTATGGTAATTGGAAATGTCTGCAGTTGTGATGTTGTCCATGGGAAAATTTTGGAACAAAGAAAACAAAATCAAATCTTCAAGGCTCAAAGGAGCCTCAACGTGATAGTTTTGCTTTTTGAGTGTGGTTAATTGTGTGATCACAGCAACATTTGGCTTGCAGACGCAGATCAATAGGAAGCACAACATGGAAAATGTTGGTGTTCCAGGTCTGAACCCAATGTGTAAAAACAGATCATTCTAATTACAACGCCCTCACCAATTGGTTTCAACAAACACCAGTATGCAACTGATAGTGCTGCAGTATTGATTTGTAAAACTCATAGGAAATAGGTGTAAATAACATTGTTTATGTACATAATTTATTAACAGGAGACAAACATCTGGCATTTTCTAAAAGGTTATATATATATTTTGTAACTTTAGGCTTATAGAGTACATCATTATTCACTCTAACAGACCTATTGTATCATGCTGACCATGCAACATAATGGATGTGTGGGAGAGGTGCAATGATTATTTATTATATATTTGTTGATGGCATTTTTATTTTATTTTTATTTATTTTTTAAGAAAACAACATGTATTTATGCTCATACAGCCCCTGGGAAAATAAAAAAATATAACTCAGAATGCTGTCATTTATATCAATGATGCATTATTGTTTAATGTGTCAATATACCTTGAGCTTATTTATCTTGTGTTTCTCTATGTTGTGATTAATGTGCACTACTCTCACAAAGGCCTGTCAAACTGTTATTATTGTTGAGTGACTTGCAACATTATCTGTTGTGCTGCTTCTGAGTCGTGGATTTTATTTAGATGACTTAGTATTATATAAAAAAAAAGGAAAATTAACAGTTTCGTAGCCACCAGAAGGAGTGCATCTGCTTGTCTCCTCTCAGTTTCTCTTACAACACAAGCTTGTTTCAGTCTTATATTTTTTGTTATAATCAGTCAAGTATAAAACATTTATTAGATTATTTCATAATTCCAAAAACGTCTCTCCTTGTATTTCAGAAGGTGATCCTGCTGTGATCCAAAGCTGCCACATAGTAGTCCAAACTCGTCTTCAGTGTTGTTTCTCACATTTGTATGAACATGAGATTATCAGTAGCAATAGGCTGGTCATAATCAGAGGAAAAAAGCGTAAGCAGGATATTATAATGTGCCAAACCTAACCCACACACATGCACAGAGATAATGGAAGTTTTATATTATGTGTTTAATAACACTGAAGCAGACATGGATGTGTAGGTGTTCTAGAATTACATTTCCTCAGGTTTTTTACTTGTTTCCGCCTATTCTGTTCTGTCAACGCATAAATTGACATGTCACAAAGAAACGTAAATGCAAATCACCTTGATGGCATTTGATTATTGGGAGATGGCGAGCTGGAAGACATTTGTGCCTGATGGCTGAAAGTGGAAAAAAAATCTATTTTGAAGAAGTTGACCTCATTCGTGCTCGTAATCATTTGCCTCATGAAGACATTACTGTTTACCGTTCTTGTGTTTGACAGAGCTGCTATATTTATTTTCAAACTCTTAGAAAAGACCCATATACAATAAAAACATTATACAAATGTTATATATCCCTTGTATTGTGTTGGAAAGCTGTTTACACCTGTGGTGTTAGTGAGTCCATTTGGACCCATGAGTTAAAAATGCTTGAAAATGTTTAAAATCTCCAGTTTGCTTCGAATGTTGTTTTTCACTTAATTGCTGGCTTAGTATGTATTCATATAAATGGAACCAGTGTGTGAAATGTATTTTAGTTGGCTCCACAGACACAGTATTTTAAAATATACCACTCATTTTTGATTGCAAAAACTGTTTAAATTCACTAAATATGTCTTTTTCTTATATAATGATTAATAATAAACAATAACTGTGTTATAAACTAATATTAGAGTACACCTACCAAAAATAATTATAATTTTTTTTACTATTTAAAATTATTAGCAATAGTGACATCTTTGTTGTTTCAGGTCAAAACAAACCTGCATCGATAAATGGTAGGATAAAGCCAACAGGTCAAATTTTTCCCATAAAACCAACTTTTATTTAACCAGACCAATTAACCAAACAATTTAACCATAAAATGAACAATGATAAACAACACTGTGTGTGTGGTTTTGTGCACGCACATTAGGGGTTGCATCAACTAGTCGACCACTGCTCTGCACTTACTTTTTATGCCTTTCATAGACTAGTCGCTGTCACGTGATAATGACCGACAAGATGGAGTTCTCGGAAAAGACAGCAGGTGACAAGCCCCTGCGCTCTGTGCCAGAGCATTGGTATCTGACACCTGCGGTAAAACGGACATTTGACCGAATTGTGACCTTTACCCTCTCCCCTCACCCCCATCCCATCCTTAACCAGTTTGTGAATTCAAACCTTTGTTTTGCGTTTCATCGTTCCTCTCAAACACGCTTAATGGAAAATTTAGACTGACATAGTGGGTAAAGGTTAGGTTGGGGGTGAGGGGAAGGTTAAATAGCAAGAGGGTAAAGGTCACAATTCAGTGAAATCTCCATTTTACCACGGGCGTCAAAAAGCAACGCACTGTGCCAGAGCGTCTCCTCCTGACGTGTGTCGGAAAAAAACGCTTGGCCACCCATCGTCACTTTTAGCCAATTCAGGTGTATGACATCATCAATGATTAGTCGAAGTCGACTAGATTTTCATTACTTGACTGTCGACTTTTAAAAACATTAAGGTCATGCAGCCTCTAGCGCACATGTACATGCATTGATCATAAACTGAACGTTGAAAATAATATGGTGCAGGTATGTTGTTCTGAATTAGCCATAATCTAAACAATGGAAACAATGAAAACAAACCATAATTTGAAGTGTGTGTGTGTGTGTGTGTGTGTGTGTGTGTGTGTGTGTGTGTGTGTGTGTGTGTGTGTGTGTGTGTGTTGGTGATGTGGACTATAACAATGCACACTGGGGGCCATAACTGATCCTCAGAGCAAGGCATAGCTTTTAAGTGATGTATACAACAGCCAGTTTTCTCTGCTGGGTCATTTTGGACCCGTAACACCACAGATGTAACTTATCTTTTTTTTTTTGAGACCTTTAGAATTTACTAAAAATGTGAAAATTCATTTTGCTGCATTTAAATAGGTGTGTCTGAGGATTAGATGAAGCCTCATTCCAGGATAACAAGAGGAAAGTGTACTTTTTGCACAGTTAAACTTGAAAGCAGGTCCATTTTGACCCGTAACACAACAGAAGGGATATAAATATATAAGTGTATGTCCAAGAGAACCGGAAATACAGGGCTCAGTAAAAAAAAAAAAAAAAAAAAAAAAAAAAAAAGACAAACAGCAAATCAACTCTGTAAGACTCTCATCCATACAGCATTTTGTTTTCATCCATGTATATTTAACCATTGAATGAAAGGGCACTGATCAGTTCTGCAAGTCTGGATGTTACATTACAAATGTTATGGAAAAGTCCTTTTCATAAGAAAATATAACATAGTTGTGGAATTTTACAATAAAATGGTTACATTTCTCACTGTGTATTTGTTTTTTGTTACTTTTGACAATTTACCTGTTTGTTTTGTAATGATTTTTAAATTGATGCAGAAAGGATGATGTGTAAGTAAATAAATTTATTTATATTTATGTATGTGTTATTGTTACACATGGTGGTAACTGTTTAGTTTCCTATTAGTAGTGTCTGAGGAGCAGAAACATTTTATTTTCATTTTCTGTACCAGAACCAAACTATCAGAGCATGTGATAAAAGTCATGTAGGCGTTAAGGCATAATGGGGCTATAAATAAAGTGTTGTGTCTCACGTCGGTTATTTTAAATGTATATACAACATGGAAGATTGTCCTAAATTTAGCAAACTGGTATTTTTCGTTTCATGTTGCAAAAGAAATTTACATATTTTCTAATTTAAGAATTGTCTAAAATAGTATTTTGATTTAGTTTTGTTAATATAATCAAGCAAAAACTGATAAAATGAATAAACGTTATTATAAAGCTGAAAATATGCTAGATGTGTTTCAAATCTGCGTATAAAGTAAACAAACTAATGGTTAGAAACAAAGGATCTATATGTTGGCTTCATTTACTCCACCCCGATGGAGTAAGGTACATGTATGAACAAGCAATGAAATTTGAAGTCTAATTAACAGAAAAAACTTCATATTTTTTGTAATTCGATGAAAAGTGTGTCATTTCACATGTCAGAAAAGAATAAGATTGAAAATATTTTGCATTTATGTAGCAAATCTTTAGCTTTTAAACTTTGTTTCAGAACATTTTTTCAACTTTTCTTGCACAGCTGAATCAAATTATAAGGATTTTTATAAAATGTTTTGTTTTTTCTCACTTGCAGCAATGATCTTTCAAGTCAGAGCTTTTGTCCAGCGCATTTTCATTAGAATGATACATTTACATTTTATAGCCAATCAAAATAATGACTTAAATATTGATAAAGCTATTTGTTCTCATGCTTAGTTTTTAACAATGTTATTTTGCAAGTCAAAAGCTGAAAAGTTTTTTTTTCTGTATTTTTTCCCCCGTGCCCTGTCTGGCTGTGAAGCAAACAGAACTGATGTCTGAATGCTGGTGACAAGATTTAAAGCTTCTACTTTAATGTCACGCCTGATATTTAAAACTTTATTTTTGGTGTTTTTTGGATGCTTTTTAATTCGACCAGACCCGGAGACAGAGATGAACGAGAAAGGAAGAGACAAAAATAAACAATCAATGATGACCAAGAGTCTGCTTCTAGACCTGCAGAAAGAGATAAACAAACAAAAAAAGGATACACAACAATACAACAAGAGCAAGCTATCACTGCGTCAACCTAATGAGGAAATATAAAATCAACATTGTTTTGCTGAACAATCACGATAATAAATCACAGTGCATTTAGTGCCAACCACAGCCTTAAGACATGTGTTAAACATGTCCAAGTCCATGCTTATGAGAGCACCATGTGAGCACCTGTGTGTGTACACGTGCTTGTATATGTAAGGCTTCTCTATAGGAGCATCCAATAGTGAGTGTGAGGGGCCACAGATCTGCCCCCAAAGATGCGTAGAAGATGGAGGGAGCTCCAAGCCCCAGAGATCCAGGAGTTTCCCCAGAGCACAGGGACCCCAAGGAGACTGTAACCAGATAAGTCCCAGCCCCCTCTCGAGAGGTGCAGATAATTGCCGCCCCCCCCCCCCCCCCCCCCCCCCCCCCAGCAGCTGGCAGAGTCCCAGGAGATAACAGCGGTAAGCCCAAAAGCTGAAAAGTTTGGCAAAAAAGCAGCATGTTTACAGCTGTGTCAGAAAACCAAAGTATATCTTTAGTCTGACTAACGTGGGACGTTAACATCTTAGTCCAGCTGAAGTTGAACCGAACAACTCCTAATTGAGCTAAAGCTGAACTTCCCTGCATTTAAACATCCCAGCTTGGACAAGCTATGACCAGTCTGGACGCTCCCCCTTCTGAAAGTGACAAAGTCACACAAGCGGTCTTCTGATAATACGGTCGCCACAAGACTCTGCATGAATCTAACTTGTCAAGCAAACAGTAGAGTACGTCTCAAATGTACTGTGCCAGAATTCATAGCATCCATCTCTTTGGCCATTGTGCAAATCCTGCTTTTTATCTGTCTGCTTCCTCCCACCAGCGTTCGTTTACCATTTAAGTGACAATAGGCTACCTGGAAGCACTTCATTCAATAATTCTATTTTGTAACAGGCACATAAATTAAGATAAAGATATCCCATCCCTTTCTTTATCTCAAATCAGTGAATAGGAACTCACAATCCAGAAGGCTGTTTTGGTTTAAAACTAGTAATGTTCAAAGTAGAGATTAGTTTGAACATTACATAATCCTACCACAAGCATGTTTTATTTAATGGTTCATTTCTAATGTGAGCACAGAGCGGTCTACGTTATCCCAACAACTTGCTTTCTTTCAGGAAAGTGCACTTGAAAAAGAACGGCAGTTGGCTGATGCACCTCTGGGCTGGTACCTCTCCCTCCACTGGGCAGGGTGGCAGCTGCAATGGACACCAAGTGAATTCCTCTGATTATTATACATGCGTCTGCAATATACCACAGCCCTGAAATGATCTTTCATCAGCTGAGGTGCATGCTCTTTGGTGAATGCAAAACTTGAAGTGGGAGGGAGGCCTCCATGAATAATGCAGTCTGCACATGGCTGACTTTTTAGCATTGCATTTATTATTGAGAGGCTGCCACTAAATTAATACGCTTACACTCAGCTACCTTTTTATGTACCTGAAAAGAAAAACACTAAAGAGTAGTGTGTAGTGCCAATTATGCTCAGGGTGTAAGCTAAAAAGAGCCAATTTTAACATACTTGTTTTTTTAATTTAAATTACTCCTTAAAGGTGCACTATATAAAAACGTAGTGAGAATTTTACACTGAGAAAATCCCAAAAGAGTCTAATGTTTCAGTCATTTTGGAAGGAAGTTTATACTGAAGCATATTTCATATCCAGCTGGCTGCAGGGATCATCAGTTTTTCTCCTTTCAAAACAAAGAAAGGAGGGATGTAACTATGTTTTACCATCAGCGAGTGTGGGGTTGCCATGTCTAATGCGAGCTAATGCTGCAGCGCCGACAACTGTAATTTGATGACGGCCAGCAAAAAGCTCCAGTTGTTTAAAGTAGTTGCAGTAACCAAATTTTACCACAGGATGTCATTTTTACTTCATGCACCTTTAAAAGCACAAACAACTTTAAAAGATGTTTGTGTTGTATCCAATATCACCCATAATGTAATGATAACACGTGCATACGATGACATGTGCTTTATTGACAATGTGGTTAATCATGATCAATAACATCAAATTCCCTTGTGATAAATTCTCACTAATGCACACAATTTAGGTGAATTAAGTCAAACGCTTCTGCATTATGCATGTCACGCTCGGATCAGAAAAAGCCACATAGATACATTTGCATTCATGTACTCACTCATCTTGGCTCTTGACTGGGGAAGACTGTTGATTTAGCATCCAGGAGAGAGCAGAGCACATCTCATCAGCATTAGCAATTTCCCCACATCGAAAATTTTCTTCAGGCTTGTGTTTTTTGTAGAAAAAAAATATCAAAGTTGTGGAGCGAATGAAGATAGTGGAAGAATTTTGTTGCTTTTATCCAAAAGGAATTAAAATGTCCAAATTTCATGAAAACTATAAATACTAATTTCCCTGGCTAACTTCTACTTCCTGTTATAGGGGTATGAGCTCACAAGGCATTCATTCATAATATAGACCACTGCAAATGCATTTAATACACGGGTGAATTACAGTGTTAAAACACTACTAAACATGCTTTACTTAGTACAGGGAAAAAGTCACTGACAACAAGTCAATGGCTCGATGCAATCTGCTAAGTTTCCTCATATAGAAAACTTATGAGGTACCAAAGGTACCAAAAGGCTATTTGATTTTACAAATTTCTATAACAGGGACCTTTTTTGCAACGATCAAAAAGATTATGTTGCTGAATATAACATCTTGTTATATCAATGTTCTTAATTATAAATGACATTTAATGTATTTTGAACTACTCAGTGTAACATCCAGAAAGGGTCACTTTTCTCCTACAAATGGACCTACACAATGTACGGTCACATACAGACATAATTCCACCATCTGAGTGGAGTTTCTATTCTGTCTTCTATAGCCCAGAAGATTCTGCAGCTCTGAACACATGATAACATATTGTCAACAAACACAAAAATAAACAAGAAATGATGAACAAGAGTCTGCTTCTAGACCTGCAGAAAAGGGATACACAACAATACAACAGGAGCAAGCTATCACTGCATCAACTTGATGAAGAAATATAAAATCAACATTGTTTTACTGAACAATCACACAATAATAAATCACAGTGCATTTAGTGCCAACCACTGCCTTAAGACATATGTTGAACGTGCCCAAGTCCATACTTATGAGAGCACCATGTGAGCACGTGTGTGTACACACGCTTGTATATGTAAGGTTTCTCTATAGGAGCATCCAATAGTGAGTGTGAGGGGCCACAGATCTGCCCCCCCAAAGATGTGTAGGAGATGGAGGGAGCTCCAAGTCCCAGAGATCCAGGAGCTGCCCTAGAGCACAGGGACCCCAAGGAGACTGCGACCAGAAAAGCCCCTGCCAACCTCGAGAGGGGACCACAACCAACAGCCCGCAGAGTCCCGGGAGATATCAGCGGCAAGCCCACAGGCCCGCCCAGAGCCTCCCACCCACTAGCCGGCCGAGCCCGGGACCCAGCAGCCTGGGACCCAGAGGCGACCACCTCTGCCAGGGACCCCGCAGAGCCCAGGGACCCAGATCTCACCAGGCAGCCACCGGGATTGATCAAGCAGACGCCAGAAATCTTAAACCCTCTGACCCGGGAGCCACGAACACTCAGGCAGACCAAGGTACTGCACTCCACACCAGGTGTGGCAGGGGGAGGGGAGACGAAGATCTATATCATCAAAAGAAGTCCCAGGAGAAGAGAGGAGTCAAAGGCCCCACCT